GGCAATGGTTTCCATCGAGCAACCTGCTTTGACAACCTCTAACCCTTCGACACACATAGTTTCGACACACAGGAATTACAATTTAACACACGACTTAATTCAGTGTGTCTAAACTATCTATATTCATCATGGCTCTTAGTCTTTTGAATATTTCGACCTGCACTCCCCTCGTCATGATATCTGCAATCTGATTCTCAGTTCTGCAGTGTTCCAAGTTCATCTTCCCTTCTGCTACCTGCTCTCGAAGATAGTGGAACCTCATTTCGATGTACTTGCTTTGACCATATGCTATCGGATTCTTTGCCAGATTGATAGTTGACATGTTGTCGATCTTCATGGTAATTGCTCCATGATCTTTCCCTGTTATCTCTTCGACCAAGTTCACCATTCAAGTTGTTTGATATGCACAAAGAGAAGCAGCTATCTATTCTGCTTCGCATGATGATAATGCCACTACTGATTCCTTTCTCGAACTCCAAGCAACTGGTGCACCACCTAGCATAAACACATATTCTGCTGTGAATTTTCGATCCTCAGCATCACTATACCAACTCGAATCAGTGTCACCCACTAACTTGCATTCTTTTCCCTTATCAATTGCAGGAAATAAAATGCCATAGTCAAGAGTTCCTTTGAGATACCTTAGTATCCTCTTCGTCGTTGTTAGGTGTAATACCTTTGGCTTCTGCATGAATCTACTTACCATACATACATTGTATGCTAAGTCAGACCTCGTATGACAAAGATATCTTAATGATCCAATAAGTCTTCTGTATTGAGTTGGATCGACATCATCTTCTTCTGAATCTTTCGACTGTTGCAGTCTTAGTTCTGTAGGTGTCGAAGTTGAGTTGCATTCTTTCATCTCAAATCTCTTGAGAACTTCTCCTGCATATCTTCTTTGATGCATCATCAAACCTCTACTAGTCTTGTAGAACTCGATGCCAAGGAAATATGAAATGTCACCCAGATCCAACATTTCGAATTCCTTGCTGAGATCACCTTTGAAGTCTTCGATCTCCTTCTTGCAGCTACCTATTAATAACAAGTCATCGACATAGAGACATAGTATAAGCAATTCACTATTGCTTCTTCTTACATATACTCCATGTTCAGTTGTGCACTTCACAAATTCCTTCTCCCTTAGAGAACTATCGATTTTCTTATTTCAGGCTCTTTGAGCTTGTTTGAGTCCATACAGGACTTTATGCAGCTTGTACACCTTTCCCTCTTCGACATGCTTCACAAATCCAACTGGTTGCTTAACATAAACTTCTTCGTCTAAGGGTCCATTTAGGAATGCACATTTCACCTCCATCTGACATATGTGCCAACTGTTTATTTCTGCTAGACCAACAACCAATCTGATTGTTTCGATTCTAGCCACAGGTGCAAAAACTTCATCGAAGTCTATTCTTTCTTTATGGATTTCGCCACGAGCCTTGCTTTGTGTCGAGTTACTTCACCTTTGGGATTCATCTTCACTTTGTATACCCACTTGACATCAATTGCCTTCTTGCCTTTAGGAAATTCGACAAGTGATCAAGTATTGTTGTCTTCGATGAACTTCACTTCTTCGTTCATTGCTTTCACCCATTTCGAATCCTTCAATGCTTCAGCTGCATTGACTGGTTCGACATCTGCATAGAAAGCATAATGTGTTAGCTCACCTTCGTTATCAACCACATCATCTGATGTAATCACACAAATCTTGCAACCTTGCAGGCATGTGTCTTGTTCTCTGAGGTCTGCTTGGTCCTGGTTAATCTATAACTGTTGGTTCCTCTTGTCGAACTTCTCTTTTGACTTCAACTGTTGGTTCTTCGAATAAGATTCACACTGAATCCTTCTTGACATTTTCAGTCCAATCCAATTCCCTAAGCTCATCTATGATCACGTCCCTGCTTATCACAATTTGCTTGTTCACTAGGTCGAACAACTTGTAACCTCATGTCGAATGATATTCTACTAAGATGATCTGACTCGATTTGTCATCAAGTTTTCTTCTCAACTGATTTGGCACATGTCTATGTGCAATAGACCCAAATACCTTCAGATGACTCAAGCTAGGCTTCACACCAAACCAACATTCTTCTTACGTAATTCGTTTTAGCTTCTTCGTCGGACATCTGTTCAATATGTATCTTGCAGTCAACACAGCTTCACCCCAAAACTTTTTAGGTAAATGCTTGCCTTTCAACATACTTCTCACCATATTCATGATGGTTCAATTCTTCCTTTCTACAGTTTCATTCTGCTGTAGAGTGTAGGGTGACACCACCTCATGCACAATCCCTTCTTTTTCACATAATTTGTCGAAGTCTTTCAACACATATTCTCCACCACCACCAGTTCTCAAAACTTTGAGCTTTCGACCACTTTGTCTTTCGATCATAGATTTAAACTTGATAAATACCTCGATCATTTCATTTTTCTTCTTGATCAGGTAAGCCCATAGTTTTCGACTGAAATCATCTATGAACGTAACAAAGTATTTGTTATCTCCCATCGAATCCACTTGGATTGGTCCACATACATCAGAATATATGACTTCGAAAATAGCCTTCGACTTGCTTCTTGCATCCTTGCTGAAGCTATTTTTGTGTTGCTTCGCCTGCACACATTCCTCACATACTTCGTTTGGAAGGTCGATTTCTGGCAGTCCTGAAACCATATTTCTTCTCTTCAAATCTCTGATTCTCTGAAGTATAGATGGCCTAGTCGATAGTGTCATATCCATTCATCTCTGCTAGTTGTAGTCGAAAGGCACTTGTGCTCCATCACATTAAGTTAAATCTTGAAAGTCCTATTCTGAGACATGGAAGCCTTCAAGATTAACATTCCATTTGCGTCGACGACTCTCATCATCTTGTCTTCGGTCGACACTTTATAGTTCTTTTCGACAAATTGTCCTATGCTGAGCAAATTGCTCTTCATGCCTGGTATGTATAGCACATTGGAAATTACTGACTTTTTGCCATCTTTCCTCATAATCAGAACATCTCCAATACCTTCAGCTGCTAGAGTACTGTCATTTGCAAATTTCACCATGTTCTTCAGTGAGGGTTTTAGGTTGACAAACCAATCTTTCCTTCCAGACATGTGTTATGAGCATCTTGAATCCAAGTACCATTGGTCCTTGAATTTTTCTTCATCCCTTGTTGTAACCATCAGCAACATCTCTTCTTCATACTTTGCGAACTTCGCATCACTTTCTTGATTCTTTCGCTTTTCTGGACAATCACTAGAATGGTGACCATACTTCTGACAATTGTAACATTGAATGTGACTTTTGTCAAGTTTTCGACCACCACCTCTTCCTCTATTTGCAACACCACCTCTTTGGTTGCCTTGGTATGGCCTTCTCTGGTTCGACGCGTTTTCTTCGTGTTGGTTTCCTCTACCAGTCGAATTGTTGTAGCCTCCTCTACCTTTATTGTCAAACCACTTTCCTTTGTCTTTCTTATCTTTTGCCGATTGAGCCTGCAAAGCCACATCACTCTTCGACTTTCCTGCAGCTCTTTCAGCTATTCTTTGTTCATGAGATTCAACCGTCCCTTGAAGCTCTTCCTTCGACAACGTTGACATACCCTTCAAATCTTCTATGGCAACTACCACATGATCGAACTTTGGAGCCAAAGATCTCAAGATCTTCGAAACAACTGCTCTTCTTGTTAACGTCTCTCTACAAGTCTTGATTTGATTCACTAGTTTTGTAACCCTAGTGAAGAAATCAGATATACTTTCGCTATCTTCCATCTAAAGCAATTCATACGTTCTTTTATGAGTTTGTAACCTCACCTCTTTCACCTTCTCAGCGCCTCCAACGATTTCTTCAGAATCTCCCAGACTTCTTTTGCAGATTCAACATCACTAACCTTTTCGAAATTGTCTGGACTGACGCATTGGTGAATTATAAAGAGAGCTTTATAATTCTTCTTCTTCGATTCTCTATATTCTACTTCTTCTTCTGAAGCATCATCATCAAGCGGTTCTAATTCATGTTTTCACAAGATCCTAAAGACCTTGAAAACAGAATATAACATTCATCTCTTTGCACCAATTCTCATAGTTATCACCTTTAAGAATTGAGAAACTTGCTGGAAAATTTCCGTTAGCGTAATTCATCGCCATCGTTAATTTCTTCTTCTTTTTCCTCGATCGTTCTTGATCGTTCTTCCCTTGAATCACTCAACCGGAGCTCTTGATATCAGATGTTGGAAATCCACAAAAACCTATGATGAATTTCTATCAATCTTGATGAACAAGATTGTTATCACCACACAATAACGATGAAAAATATGAAAGAAAAAAAGAAAGACAATTATTTTTCTGGAGAGTTTCTCTCTGCCCACAAACTGTGAAAAACTTTTTTATTCACTTACAACTGTAAATTCTGTGAATACAACTTGATTGACTTGATTATAAAAATAGGGGTTACTCCCTCTATTTATAGATTTATGCTAGCTTGCTCCCTAAGACAAAATCCAAAACTATGAAAATCCAAAATACCTATTTTGAAACTAAATCAAATCTATCTATTTTAGATCTAAATCAAATTTAAATCTAAAACCAAATTAAATCTGTGTGTAACCTGCTTTGATCCACAAGCTCTTCGACTGGACAATAGTTTCCATCGAGCAACCTACTTCGACAACCTCTAACCATTCTACACACATAATTTCGACACACAAATTACAGTTTAACAATTTTCACACAAATATGAAGTACGGTGAAAATCAAATTTCTTTGCTTGGCCAATTTTATCTCCATTGTTAATTAATATACACTCATCATACTACACCGAATAATCCATATACCAATAACTTGGACCATTCAACCCATTACTGAATCTTAATGTATGACGTTGACTATTTTTAAAATCGGCATTCAAGGTTACTTCAAAATTCAACTGTGACATGTTTACGGTCCATCAACTGTGACATGTTTACAGTCCATAGCAAAGGATCTATCATTTATTAAGTATTGCATTTACATACCTTTACATAGTTGGATACTGAAGAGGCATTCATAACACGAGGCCACAGACCATATTCTGCCAGCAATCCAAGCATAGATGACATAAAGACATATCTCTCGTCCTCCGCAACCTAAATTAATGATATATATTAATAGGAGCAACAAGAAGAACATGAGATTCCATACATACACAAACATATACAGATACACTGTCAAATAATAACAATAGTGGCGCTATAGCGCTTTAGTATAGTGGATTTTGATGATTCCGCTATGAAAACCATGATGCTATCCTAGTTTCACTATTTGGGAAATAGTGGTCGCTATTCCAGTTTCTGCTAGCCGTATAGTGGCAATAGCAAAAAAAAGGAAAATTTGAGAATTTTTTAAGAAGATAAAACTGAAGAGTCTGCATGTGTTCCGAACATGACTTATTATAAAAATAGAAAAACCGAAGAGTTAATGAGTATGTAAACCTTTCAATATGGAGGCTATGTTTTCCATCATTCCTTTTTTTTATAATACGGAGCTTGCCTTCTTCTATAGAATCACTAATTTAACCGCTATGCGACTTCCTCTCGCAATCCACTATTGATAAGGAGCCTGTTTTTTTAGCTTTAAAAAAAAAAATTGTATTCTCAAAAATAATTTTTATAAAAAAAAATTTTCAACTAATTTTTTATAAATTAAAAAACTAATTTTGACATCTTATAACATAAATATACATTATTCAAGATCAAAACATAGTCAAAATCACATCATTTTTCAAAAAGATGTATCTCAAAAATGATTTTTATGAAAAATTATTCAAAATAGCTTCAAATTTAAGTGATTTTTTAAAATTTTGATATCATAAAAAATTATAATAAAATGATGAAATAACTAAAATATCATTTTAAGGAAAACTATTTAAACCAAACTTTTTTGAAGCTTTTAAAAAAAATTGTAAATTTATTTTTAAAAAAATATGTAACACTATAAAAATCATTTAAAAAAAAACTGAAACAAATGAGTTCAAGAATAAATGTGTGACTGTCTATATATGTGTGTGCGTGCGCGCGCACATTTATTAAAATAAATGCATCGAATATTGACAACCGGTGCAAAACCTTGCCGAAATGGATATAAAAAAGGTCATTGCTTGCAAGAAAGGCACTGTATGGTTCATGTACACAGTTGACGCATTAATGCTCAAGTAGAAATAAAATGCTGAATCATCATGAAACTAGACTCACTTTCAAATCATGGGCAAGTTTTAAATTTTCTTCTAGATAACCTTTCCTTCGAGCCAGATCATTAGAGGCAGATGTGATGGCTTCATTTTGCTTGTCATCAATTGCCTAATAAAAACATGGCATTTAACTTTTAGGATTGAAATTATATTCGTAAGATGTTATAAATTTAGCAAAAATTTGAAAAGACATTGACTAACCATTCTTAATTCCGAAAATTCTCTCTCTAGTTTGCATTTCTCATTCAAAAGCTGTAACTCCTGCAGCCATTGAATTTATAGTTGATTACCTAAAATAAAATGCCAAAGAAATAGATATAACTTAATGCTTGTGTGCATTTCATACCGTCAAACAGGAAGCTGCAATCTGTTCACGGAGGGAGAGGATCTCTTCTTCTTGCCTCCTTGCTCGTGAATAAAGTTCCTGCAAATAAACTTTTAATCTGATGAGACTGTATAGTGTTTCTTGCATCTTCCAAGGAAAAACTACAAGCAAGAATGCATTGTCACGTTTTCTAGAATATATATATTTTTCACAAATAAGAATGTGGTACATAAAAAACAATATATTGTTATACTTTATTACCATAGTTTCTAGGTCCTCAACTTGATTGAGTGCGTCATTGCTTTTGAAATTGCTTTGAGCCAGTTGTTTCTCAAGATTGTGCCTAAAACACAAACAGCATCAAATTAATCACATCGCAACTTGAACATAATAGATTGTAAGCATCAATATAACTCAAGCGAGTTATTTAATGCATCTTGTTAGAATGGAGGGTAACACCTTTATCCTTTGAGCTAGCTTTTAGAGTTGAGTTAGGTCTTATCCACATTATCAGAAAAATGAACAAAAAAACCTCTTGCAGACCAGAATTTTCTAATGAAAAATGTCATTGCCACTTTCATTATGTAGGGTCTCTAATCACCCAAACATATTTGTGTGTTTTCTTCTTTGTGAACCATGCTGCTTTGATGTATTTAGCCAGAATGAAATTTTGTAGTTTGATTTTGCTACTCTTTCTTTTTTTTATTATATTCAGAACCGGAGTTCACATCCAAAATGAAAGCTAACATTACAAAAAAAAAACACGACGTCGTTTTCTATGTATTACCTGCCTAAGATTTCAGAGGCTTGACCCCGAATCTCATCATTTTTAAGCCCGTGCGAAGGGCTTTTAACAGAAGACATAGAATGGCTTGCACAATGTCCTCTTACAAACAACTTGTAATTGAATCATAGTCGATTCTTCCCAATAAATTTCTGCATTTTGTCTCGTCTGATCATCCCCTTATTTAGGTCCAAATCAAGGTTTTCGTATGAGTCGTTCCTAACCAAGAGATGCTTCAAGATGAAACAGATACCATGGAGTTAACAACTTATCCAAGGACCAAAAGAAATTTCTTGATTAAAAACATGCTACTCAGCATATAAAAAAGTAAATGTAGACATAATATCTTATTCCACTAGCAAACATCGGCACATGTTCACGCATTATTTGGGGTGCTAGTGAGAGCGTTTGATCAAAACCAGACAGTCCTGATTTAAGTTGTGAAATCAAAATTATGATAAAAACTAAAACCTGTACTTTTCTGGATCATCACATCTTGATCAAACGGTCACTACTAATTCTTCAAATGCGTGAACGGAATGACTGAGGAGAATCCAATTTCGCAAACATCATAGCAATCTATACCAATATAGTTGAAGGTATGTCCGGTGTGTGACATGTGTTGTGTCGTGTAGTTCATTGAATAACTTCCATTTTCTCAAATTATTAACTGTCTACGTGTCAGTGTCGGTGTTTCTAAGGTCTATATAGCAAAAGAGTAACTAACTAATTGAGGACATTGATCATTCAGTTGGCATACAAACAGACAAACTAACAACCCAATTAAACAACAAAAATCACACCACACTATCATGATTCATGACATCCACATATATAAACTTGCAGAAGTGTCAAATTTCACCAAAATCAACACAAGAGAATATTTTTCCAATTCCAAAAGATTAGCAACTCTATAATGCTGGACAAAACATAACATGAAGAAATCCAAGTTTTGAGATACTAAAGAATCAGAAAACATCAAAACAAAAAAAAACAAAAAAAAAACAGAATCAAAAGCATAGACTCACCACCGACAGCAAGTACGAGGTTGTTGGGTGTGAAAAAGCAAAATCCAAAGAGAAAGATGGAGAAGGATGAAAAATCTGAGATGTGTAGTTGTTCTGATGGGGGCAGAGAGAGAAAATGTTGGAAGAAAGGAAAAGAGAAATAAAATAATCATTAATTATACTCTAACTAATAATTACGATTAATAAAAGTATGTACTATGTACATTGTACACACCCAAAAAAAAAGTATATTACAACATATATTTAATATCATTAAACAATGACTTTAGTTTTAAAAAAAATAATTTAATCGATATACAATGAATTGTAAAAAGATATTTTATATGTTTTGTTTAGCTTTTAGAAAGACCAAAAATATTTTTTTTAAAATAAAGTTAATTTTGAAATGATTTTGAATTATTTAGTTCTTTTAAATTAAAATTGATTGTGCTTCTAGATTGAAGCTACAATTTACTTTAACTCATTTTTATATAAATATATACAAAATTAAATTAGTTATATTTAACTCTTAATCAAAATCATTTTATAAAATTAATTTATTGAAAAATCAATTCTTTTCACTATAAAATCAAACATACATATAATTGTTAAATTTTTATAAGTGTTTGACTTTTACTTTAATTACATTTAAATTATCGTATATGAAAAGTTGTAATTATTTTAATAATATATATTAATTAATCTCTTTAAAAAATAATTTTTTAAATAAATATTACTTTTTCCATTTTTAATAAAATATTAATTAGTATTTTTGCAGTTGTATGAATTAATACAATGTATATTATTACTTCAAAATTATTATTTTTACATTGCATTTATATTAGTGAAAAATATATCAATAATTAACAAAAATAATTAATATTTAGTTCTTGGAACCAAGTTATTTTTCTAAATTATGTTTTTTTTAATATGTATAAAGAATTTGAATGAGACTTATTTTTAAATAAAAAAGAAAAATGGTCTTTTTTAAAAATTTGCTTTTTCTTGAAATAAAATATAGGTTTAATGCATTCTTTAGCCCATTAACTTAATTTAAGGTTTCACTTTAGTCTCTTATTTAATAAATGTTCGTTTTAAGTCCTTTAAGTGTCATTCATTTAACTACATTGGTCATATCCGTTAAACTTTGTCAAATTTCGTTAACTTATGTATGTGTGACATGTCAGCTGGTTCTAGGTTATATGACATGAACTTATTTTATTTTATATTAATTTAAAATTAAATTTTAAAAACAAAAAACTGAAATGTATTTTGTATTCTTAAGTTTCTCTCTTATCCTCTCTTCCCTAACCCTAGCCGTCACCTTTTCTTCCTTTGGTCATCACCATTTTCATCACTCCTCCTCATCATCAACTGTAAAAATCTTCCTCAATCAAACTGGAAAATCTTAGAGAACTCAGATCTCTAAAATTCCTCATCAATCTACTGTAAAACTCCTCCTCACGGTCAGGGGAAGAATCAAAATCCTTAGAGACAATTGAGAAATGTTCTTCTTACAAAGAAGAAAGTAATTTTATTTCTTATCTTAAAGAGTTTGAGAAAAATGCTTTAATTTAGTTCAAGTCTAAGATTGAGGAAATGATTTTATGGAACACCCAACGTTGGTGCCCGTCTCATGGCTCCTCCGTAGAAATTTCTGATACTACAAAATATTCTAAATTTTTGGAGCAAGTAAATGTTGTTTTTTATCTTTTTTGTTCTTTATCATCTTTTTCATCTGCAATTAAGATTCCAAGTGAAACAACCGGCTGGAAATCATCAAACAATAAAGTCGTCATTGAATGTCTTTTATCCCACATGAAGGAAAATGTAAACATCGAGAAAACCTGAGAAGGGAGAAGTCACGGTCTTGCAATCGAGAGATCGGGTAAGGGAGTCTGTTACGCGAGGGGAAGGTATTAGCACCCCACACGCCTGTAGTACTTTACGGTATCCACTCTTGTTGCCTATCTTATAGGTGTGCTTAAACTATGTTTACTGTTTACTACTACTAAAGAATGCATGCAAAAGAAAGGGGAAAAGAATATAGAGAAAATAAAGTTGTACTCGCTTGGGCCCTACTCCAATGCCTATGTATCCTTTATGAGGAATCAGAGCTACCGTAGTTCGGCTCACATATTTTTCTTTATTTGTGTTTTTTATGGACAATGTTAATTCCGCCTTCTCTCGCAGCTCGACCTTTGGAGACTTATGCGTTGGCACAAAAGTAAATTAATCATATCCTTACTTGAAAAAGGTTTTGAGTTACGCTCTTGAGGCAAGATGCCACATTTGGTTGTTTGTGTTTTGTTACCTTGAAAAAGGGTTTAAGTGTGATTATCATGTTTTTTATTTGCTAAGAAAGAGAGTTTTAGTTTTAGATGCAAGGATGCAAAAAGGGAAGAAAAGAGTCTAAGGGAGACTAACATATTTCTAACCTAATGTTATTATACAATGGTATCCCTAAGGTTTGGATAATCAAAAGGGAAACGTCTATCTAATGTTAGCATGCATGGTTTGCAACTTGAGGTCTAACTCGCGTCCGAAAAGGAGAAAGCACATCCTAAGGGAACATAGTATGTACAAGGAGAAAGCAAGCAAGATCGAAAGAGCGCACACATAAAATAGTAAGTAAAAGAAGAGAAATGTTTTAGCCAATGGGAGCGTATCACCCGAGACAAACAAGCGGGAGTGAGATGAAAAAATAAAATGTGATGTCCAAAGAGACTGAACACCTAACCAAGATATAGGAGATCGAGATAGGCGGCAGAAGGCAATATGAACGATCATGGAGTATTAGCATCGGCCAATGCAAACTCCTGACAAAGCGTGGGGGTTCGATTGCAAAACCCTTCCCCACTTGACGACTCGATACACATGAGCAAGCACAACTTCGAAGCATCATGGTGCGTCACGAGCTAAGGATGACACTGACGAAAATGCGGAGGTTGATTGTTAACCCTCCCCGCTCGCCTCCTTTTAAGGACTTCAATAAGGGATGAGAAATAGTGTGGGCATAAATATAAACACACCTACAGAATGCCTACTCAAAGGTATGGTTTTAAACAAACCACACACAGGTAGCCCACAATGCACATAATGCGAAATTGCCCTAAACGGGTCTTTAAATAAACCAGAGGGGTTCCTAACATGATCAGCAACGGAGACCCCCGTCATACATCCCTATTCCTATTTCTCATGGCATCAAAAAGCAATAAAGAAATGTAGTAAAATGTGAAGAAGTACGAAGGTAGTAGTGGCGACTACCACAAGCAAGCAAATAGTCAAGAGCAGACGAAAGCACTGGAGAAGTAAGAAGTACGTATGAGCAAGCTTCACCGAGAAACAAACAAAGTCAGAAATGACATCCAACTAAGATAAAGGCAAACGCGTGTTGCAAATGCAACACAAAATCAAAAGTTCCTGCACAAAGCTCATAAAGCATCACACGCATCAGGACAACATATAATACAATATGAATCTCTCAGGACGATGAGAAATAAATGTGTCGCATCGTAAGCGAGCATAAGCCGTATGCTTCGATCACATAATTATCCTTTATGTTACATGATCAAAAGCACTAAAATGTACCTTGCACAGTGAACAAACACATCAAAAGTAACATGGCAAAGTGGCATGAAAATATGGATAAAGAACTAAGAGAAAAATGTATATTTTTTATTAGTTTTTTATGTGAAGAAAATTCTATCGAAAAAAAAACTAAAATTAATTCCTAAAATCGATTAAGAAAACTAACAAATTTTATTTGATTTTTTATGTTCTTTTTATTGCAGTTTAATCACAATTTGATCGCGGTTTAATTTGCAAGAGTCAAGTAATTAAAATGAAAATTGAAACTAAGCATGAGGTTGAAGTAAGGATTAGGTGTATGATATAGCAAACAAGCGTTAGGCCCGTTATCTCTAAGGTCCTTGAACTAACCTTTTTGGTTCAATACTCAACTTCCAAAAACGGGCCTAGGAAGGAGTAACCCGATCCACAATGTTAATTCAAAGTCCATATAAACTAAACTCCTTATCAGCATTTTCTGACTATTATACTGAGCAAACAATATAGAAAAAAAAAAGGTAAAACAATTAAATGGAAAAAGAGGATACGATGTCGTATGGGGCCTAAGGTTCAGAATTGGACAAATTCCTCCTCAATCCGCGGTGCACTTCACTTGCTCTTCTCCAACTGCTCCGCCACAAGCTCATTCTTCCAACATCGTCATAAATTTGTCACTGTTTTCATCAAATATGTTTGTTCCTCACTCAACTTCTTCCATTTTGTACAAGAACGTCATTACAAAATCATCATCATCTTCTCTCAACCTTTTTGTATTTTGCTTCGTCCATTCCCTCATCACATCTCTATTCGATTTCACCTTACTCTCTCTCTCTCTCTCTTTGTCTCATCACCTCAGCCTCACAGCATGCTCGATTCCGCAATTTGACTCAATGTTCACACACTCAACACATAAGAAAATCCAATAGTGTAGATAAAGGAAAAGGCGAAGGTGTTTACCTCCCGAAGAACTCTGGTGGCTCTTCAACACGGCGAACCTTCGCTGCAAGCGGCGGATTTAGCCAAGTGTTATTGTTGATCAGTGATACGGTTGCTACTGTTGACGCTGATGCAGCGTTAACGGCGAAGATTGCTAATGTTATTGCGGTAGGTTGAAGAACAAAAGGTGAAGATAGTGAATGATGCAGGGAAATCGTGGAGAGAGAGAAGGTGAAGGTGGTTGAAGACTTGAAGCTAAGAGAGAGAGTGCAAAGAATATTGCAGAGAAAAATCATGGTTCGAGAAACGATGAAGATGAGGATAAAGAGAGTGAAGGAGCTTTTTTTTTGCAGAGAAAAGGTGAGGTGAACTTTCTTAGATTTTATTTCTTCTAAATCGTATCCTCCTTCCCCTTTTTTGTTTTTTTTTTATTTTCTATGAATTTGTTATCAATTAGTTTGTTAGGGGATTGCAATTCTCTTATGGTGTCAGTTAGAATGAGCTGGAAGATTCAGTTAGAGTGTTAATAATTATGTTAGCTGAATGTGAGCTGAAAGTTGAGTTTTCGTAAATTGCAGTTATTGATAGCTAATATATAGATTCAAATTGTTTCATGATCCTCCCAATTTTTGTTTTACGAATTGGTCTCTTCCCTTTATTTCCTGAGTTCCTTTTTTGTTAGCTTGATGTGCAGGGGAATGGTTGGGGTTCCCATTATTGTTCATCATAAATCCGGTATATGTACAAGTTGTTGTTGCTGAAATTGGTGTTGAGTGTAACCGAGCTTTTGCGAGATGCTGAGAAATGCAGGGAAGTCGCTGAAGACGATGATGATGATATTGGTGAGTTGAAGACTAAGAGGATGCATTGGTAGCTTGATATTGAAGAGATGGAGGTTGAGGAAGATTAATGCAGAAACTTTGAGGATTCGGTCACGGTAGGTTGAGGATTGAAGAATTTCCAAAAACCGTTATGGGGAGTGAAAATCCAAGGTGAGTTTTTTCTGATTTCTTTTTCTTATGTCACTGTTTTCATCAAATATGTTTGTTCCTCACTCAACTTCTTCCATTTTGTACAAGAACGTCATTACAAAATCATCATCATCTTCTCTCAACCTTTTTGTATTTTGCTTCGTCCATTCCCTCATCACATCTCTATTCGATTTCACCTTACTCTCTCTCTCTCTTTGTCTCATCACCTCAGCCTCACAGCATGCTCGATTCCGCAATTTGACTCAATGTTCACACACTCAACACAGAAGAAAATCCAATAGTGTAGATAAAGGAAAAGGCGAAGGTGTTTACCTCCCGAAGAACTCTGGTGGCTCTTCAACACGGCGAACCTTCGCTGCAAGTGGCGGATTTAGCCAAGTGTTATTGTTGATCAGTGATACGGTTGCTACTGTTGACGCTGATGCAGCGTTAACGGCGAAGATTGCTAATGTTATTGCGGTAGGTTGAAGAACAAAAGGTGAAGATAGTGAATGATGCAGGGAAATCGTGGAGAGAGAGAAGGTGAAGGTGGTTGAAGACTTGAAGCTAAGAGAGAGAGTGCAAAGAATATTGCAGAGAAAAATCATGGTTCGAGAAACGATGAAGATGAGGATAAAGAGAGTGAAGGAGCTTTTTTTTTGCAGAGAAAAGGTGAGGTGAACTTTCTTAGATTTTATTTCTTCTAAATCGTATCCTCCTTCCCCTTTTTTGTTTTTTTTTTATTTTCTATGAATTTGTTATCAATTAGTTTGTTAGGGGATTGCAATTCTCTTATGGTGTCAGTTAGAATGAGCTGGAAGATTCAGTTAGAGTGTTAATAATTATGTTAGCTGAATGTGAGCTGAAAGTTGAGTTTTCGTAAATTGCAGTTATTGATAGCTAATATATAGATTCAAATTGTTTCATGATCCTCCCAATTTTTGTTTTACGAATTGGTCTCTTCCCTTTATTTCCTGAGTTCCTTTTTTGTTAGCTTGATGTGCAGGGGAATGGTTGGGGTTCCCATTATTGTTCATCATAAATCCGGTATATGTACAAGTTGTTGTTGCTGAAATTGGTGTTGAGTGTAACCGAGCTTTTGCGAGATGCTGAGAAATGCAGGGAAGTCGCTGAAGACGATGATGATGATATTGGTGAGTTGAAGACTAAGAGGATGCATTGGTAGCTTGATATTGAAGAGATGGAGGTTGAGGAAGATTAATGCAGAAACTTTGAGGATTCGGTCACGGTAGGTTGAGGATTGAAGAATTTCCAAAAACCGTTATGGGGAGTGAAAATCCAAGGTGAGTTTTTTCTGATTTCTTTTTCTTATGTCACTGTTTTCATCAAATATGTTTGTTCCTCACTCAACTTCTTCCATTTTGTACAAGAACGTCATTACAAAATCATCATCATCTTCTCTCAACCTTTTTGTATTTTGCTTCGTCCATTCCCTCATCACATCTCTATTCGATTTCACCTTACTCTCTCTCTCTCTTTGTCTCATCACCTCAGCCTCACAGCATGCTCGATTCCGCAATTTGACTCAATGTTCACACACTCAACACAGAAGAAAATCCAATAGTGTAGATAAAGGAAAAGGCGAAGGTGTTTACCTCCCGAAGAACTCTGGTGGCTCTTCAACACGGCGAACCTTCGCTGCAAGTGGCGGATTTAGCCAAGTGTTATTGTTGATCAGTGATACGGTTGCTACTGTTGACGCTGATGCAGCGTTAACGGCGAAGATTGCTAATGTTATTGCGGTAGGTTGAAGAACAAAAGGTGAAGATAGTGAATGATGCAGGGAAATCGTGGAGAGAGAGAAGGTGAAGGTGGTTGAAGACTTGAAGCTAAGAGAGAGAGTGCAAAGAATATTGCAGAGAAAAATCATGGTTCGAGAAACGATGAAGATGAGGATAAAGAGAGTGAAGGAGCTTTTTTTTTGCAGAGAAAAGGTGAGGTGAACTTTCTTAGATTTTATTTCTTCTAAATCGTATCCTCCTTCCCCTTTTTTGTTTTTTTTTTATTTTCTATGAATTTGTTATCAATTAGTTTGTTAGGGGATTGCAATTCTCTTATGGTGTCAGTTAGAATGAGCTGGAAGATTCAGTTAGAGTGTTAATAATTATGTTAGCTGAATGTGAGCTGAAAGTTGAGTTTTCGTAAATTGCAGTTATTGATAGCTAATATATAGATTCAAATTGTTTCATGATCCTCCCAATTTTTGTTTTACGAATTGGTCTCTTCCCTTTATTTCCTGAGTTCCTTTTTTGTTAGCTTGATGTGCAGGGGAATGGTTGGGGTTCCCATTATTGTTCATCATAAATCCGGTATATGTACAAGTTGTTGTTGCTGAAATTGGTGTTGAGTGTAACCGAGCTTTTGCGAGATGCTGAGAAATGCAGGGAAGTCGCTGAAGACGATGATGATGATATTGGTGAGTTGAAGACTAAGAGGATGCATTGGTAGCTTGATATTGAAGAGATGGAGGTTGAGGAAGATTAATGCAGAAACTTTGAGGATTCGGTCACGGTAGGTTGAGGATTGAAGAATTTCCAAAAACCGTTATGGGGAGTGAAAATCCAAGGTGAGTTTTTTCTGATTTCTTTTTCTTATGTCACTGTTTTCATCAAATATGTTTGTTCCTCACTCAACTTCTTCCATTTTGTACAAGAACGTCATTACAAAATCATCATCATCTTCTCTCAACCTTTTTGTATTTTGCTTCGTCCATTCCCTCATCACATCTCTATTCGATTTCACCTTACTCTCTCTCTCTCTTTGTCTCATCACCTCAGCCTCACAGCATGCTCGATTCCGCAATTTGACTCAATGTTCACACACTCAACACAGAAGAAAATCCAATAGTGTAGATAAAGGAAAAGGCGAAGGTGTTTACCTCCCGAAGAACTCTGGTGGCTCTTCAACACGGCGAACCTTCGCTGCAAGTGGCGGATTTAGCCAAGTGTTATTGTTGATCAGTGATACGGTTGCTACTGTTGACGCTGATGCAGCGTTAACGGCGAAGATTGCTAATGTTATTGCGGTAGGTTGAAGAACAAAAGGTGAAGATAGTGAATGATGCAGGGAAATCGTGGAGAGAGAGAAGGTGAAGGTGGTTGAAGACTTGAAGCTAAGAGAGAGAGTGCAAAGAATATTGCAGAGAAAAATCATGGTTCGAGAAACGATGAAGATGAGGATAAAGAGAGTGAAGGAGCTTTTTTTTTGCAGAGAAAAGGTGAGGTGAACTTTCTTAGATTTTATTTCTTCTAAATCGTATCCTCCTTCCCCTTTTTTGTTTTTTTTTTATTTTCTATGAATTTGTTATCAATTAGTTTGTTAGGGGATTGCAATTCTCTTATGGTGTCAGTTAGAATGAGCTGGAAGATTCAGTTAGAGTGTTAATAATTATGTTAGCTGAATGTGAGCTGAAAGTTGAGTTTTCGTAAATTGCAGTTATTGATAGCTAATATATAGATTCAAATTGTTTCATGATCCTCCCAATTTTTGTTTTACGAATTGGTCTCTTCCCTTTATTTCCTGAGTTCCTTTTTTGTTAGCTTGATGTGCAGGGGAATGGTTGGGGTTCCCATTATTGTTCATCATAAATCCGGTATATGTACAAGTTGTTGTTGCTGAAATTGGTGTTGAGTGTAACCGAGCTTTTGCGAGATGCTGAGAAATGCAGGGAAGTCGCTGAAGACGATGATGATGATATTGGTGAGTTGAAGACTAAGAGGATGCATTGGTAGCTTGATATTGAAGAGATGGAGGTTGAGGAAGATTAATGCAGAAACTTTGAGGATTCGGTCACGGTAGGTTGAGGATTGAAGAATTTCCAAAAACCGTTATGGGGAGTGAAAATCCAAGGTGAGTTTTTTCTGATTTCTTTTTCTTATGTCAACTAAATCGTGAACCCCCCCCCCCCCCCCCCCCTTTGTTATTTTGTTACAGTTTTTGTATAAGTCTCTTTGTGTTGTCCAGCTCTTTTAGTACTTGAACTTTTGTCTGTTCAACCGCTTCTGCTTGTTTTTTTTGTATTCTATGATCTCCTCATTTGCTTTATCAAGTTCTTGTTCAACTAGAATGCGCCTCTCCACAGTCTAGATTCTATGAGCCTTCCAGTCTACAATTCCTCCAAACTTAGAAACAACTTCCTTGACAGATTCAAATGGAGGTGTGGTATCAATAAGCTTCCTTTTTACATTAACCATATTGGTTTGAGAGGGTGAGTCAACTGCTCTAACAACCATCTTTACTTGATTGTGATCATTTAAAAAATCATTTGTTTCATAAGAAAAAGCATAAAGTCTAATCTCATTATC